CGTAAGTCGAGGACTAAACCAGTCGTAAGTCGAGGACCAAACCGGTCGTAAGTCGAGGACTACCCAACTGGTCGTAAGTCGAGGACTTTCCCTGCCCGGGAGCGCCGCGCATGCATGGTTCTGCCCCCTGCACCGGCCGAGGCGTAGCTGGCAAGTGGCAGAGACGGAGCAGGCCGACCACCAGCTGGCCCAGCCCAAGGGAGGTAAGACACCCACCGGAAAAGGGGAAAAAAATGTCGGACAAAAAAAATGACGGACAAAAAAAATGGCGGACAGCCTTGCTTGGCGACCCCTGTGAAATGGTCGATCGACCCCAAATGGGGTCCCGACCCACAGGTTGAGAACCACTGATCTAATGGGACCTGGGAGGATGCCTTCTTTGCTATGCTGCCTATTCTTTGAAACAAGCGATTCCAAAGTTCCCTGAGGTTCAAATGGTACCACCCTATTGGTCTTCCATAGAGTTATGAAGATCTGACTTCTCTACCCTGTACTGCTGCAGGAGGGCAGATGTACCCTATTGTATGATGTGCATTTTTCTTTTCACCAGCCTCAGTTATGCATGGGTGCTGTTTTTGTTAGGCTTTTCCGGTTTTCATATTATATTGCTTCTTTCTTGATTTTTTTTTTATGCACCCAAATTCACAAATTGTAAAAGGGGGAGCCACATTCCGCATGAGTGGAGAAGAAATTATGTTTCACACCTAAATATGTTGAGATGTAGGATTTTATTTCTGTCTACTTGCATTCTGGTTGCATTAATCCAAATATCTCTTCACTTGTTTCATTTCTTGGAGCTCCTCAATAAATGGCACAATAAATAAAAGAAATGGTACCAAATTGGAAGCCATCTGCCCCTTAAATCTCATCCATCCCAATTTGCTATAAAGAAGGCATTATATAAATGTATAATGTCTATTCCTTATAAATATCTGGCCTTAGGCTTTCTTCTATATCATTGTATATAGAATTGTACTGTTTTATATATTTTGAAAAAAAAAAACCTAAATGTAACTTCACTAATATTTCAGTCAGTATTTTTGTTCATCAAGTCCTCCTTGATTGGACTTTTGATCTGATAATAGATATTATCTTCATCTGTTCCAAATACGTATAAAAAGAGTTAACGGTGCATATTAAAAACAAACATCTTAGCAACAATTTTGACCTTCATATATGTGATACACTAATCTACAATTTTCCATGTCTGTTCTACATTTATTCTAGCCATGACTTTAGGGAATTCTTCAGAAAAAAATTATCTTTAAGGTAATGATTTTTCATCCTGCAAGTTCTGTCAACTATTGGTTAAGTACCATAAATGCAAACATTATATGGTACTTATGTTGGAAATCAAAGTAATAGCTTGTTTGCATGCAACAAATGATAGTTATCATCAATATATCTTCTATGAAAGACTGTCTTAATGGCACTCCAAAATAAAAAAAAACCCTTTTCGTTTTCGCAATATGGTTTTGAAGAGAAAGCATACTGTAATATTTGAGGTCCACAATTATGCCATATGAAAAAGAACTGAACATGTGATGTGAAATACAAGTAGTCCCTTTTCTTAATATCTCTACTCTTGATAGCGTATAGAGAACTTCTGTTGCTGCTTAATTGTCCTATTCAAGAAAATGCTAACTGGAACACAACTTGCTCCTTCTACCTTTGATTCAGATGAACAGAGCAGAGAAAACCTGAAGTGCCCTCTCAGTTCAAAACAAATGACCATTCATAAAATTCATTTAAGATATAACAGTATTGACAAAGCCAAAAGGAATTCATGAAAAACTACTATTCTTCATAAGAAAAGGAAGTAGATGTCTATGAAATTATTGTCTTATTATACAGGGACAATATTATGCAATTATTTATTAATTTATACTACCCAGAATAATTATTGTTCTGTCTATTATGAGGTTTAATCAGTCAACTGAATTATTAAGCAGGGGTAGGCATGTGCAGCGTAAGCAAGCTCTAGTACTCCTACTGAAACTGTGTTGCTTGGTTCATTTTCATTTCTCATTGTGCCCAACAGAATCTACCATGGGATGCCATATTTCAATGTAGATTATGTAGATATTGGTAGAAATGTAATTTTGTTAATTTAAGAAGAAAATGTAGATTAAATGTGAGTAAAACTATAGGATAAGTTAGTGATGGCGAACCTTTTAGAGACCGAGTGCCCAAACTGCAACCCAAAACCCACTTATGCATCTTCGGGTGCCGGGTGGGTGTGGCCCATTGGGTGGGTGTGGCCCATTGGGTGGGCGTGGCTGTGGTGGTAACGGCAGACTGGGTGGGACTAAAAAGTTCAATCAATCAATTCCAACTTTGCAAGATCATTTTTCCCCCGAGAAGTTGAAATTGACTGATTGATTGAACCTTTTTTTTTTTTTTTGCACACGGCAGCGGAGGCCTAAAGCGAAAAGGTTTTATAAAACCCAGCTGAAGGCCTAGGACTGGGGCGACGGTGCGCGTGCCCACAGAGAGGGCTCTGAGTGCCGCCTCTGGCACCCGTGCCATAGGTTCACCACCACTGGGATAAGTATAACTAAAGGATACTTCAAAGTCTTTGCTGCTGTGTAATATTTTTCAGTCAATGCTTATTTCCCCCCTTTTAAATATGTTTATCTCAGAAAAAAAGGATTTTCATTTTTGCAGTGTTTTTCTTTAATAGGTTTGACAGTCAACAATAAAAATATACTTCTTATGAAAAATGGACAGTTAGGTCACCAAAAGTAGTAAACTACAATGTAGACTAGAAAGATGTTGATTGATACAATGCAATTTTAATGCTCCTGCTAAAAAGATTTTAAGGGAATTTTAACTATATTGTGATAATACATATCTACGCTTAGTATTGGAATGGTAACAGATTGAGAATCCAATGTCAATTCAACTTATAGCTACTGAACATCCTTTGAAGACCAAATAATACAAAATAATTGTTTGAACTGAAAAGTATCAATTAATTCATGGCAATCTTCCTTTGCTATGGAAAAGGAGCACAAAGAGCAGGAAAGAACTAGATAACTCCCCCCCTCCCGGCCCCCAGCAGTCTTACTTCAAACCATTCTGCCCAAATTTATTTATGCTTAACTAATGCTAAATCACTTATTCAAATGATCTCTAAATGGTGTATGTTGTAAGACATTCTGTTTTTTCCTCAGGGGTTCTAGGGGCTCTACATCTTCCCTCCTAATTTAGCCTGTTTGGCTCTCTTATCTGATTACCTTAACCATGGTTTTTCCAATTCACCCAGGCAGTTTTCAAAGCACTCTGAACCATACATCAGCCACATAGGGTGGTTTCACACAAACAGGCTAGGTTAAAATGTGGCTGGCTAGTTCAGGGGGTAGTCAACCTTGGCTCTTTTATGACTCGTGGACTTCAACTCCCAGAATTCCTGAGCCAGCTAAGCTGGCTCAGGAATTCTGGGAATTGAAGTCCACGAGTCATAAAAGAGCCAAGGTTGACTACCCCTGGGCTAGTTTATGGGTTCAGTAGATCCTATAATGTCTGCCTTAGGGGAGTTGCATGGGACTAGGTTATCTTATCTTTGGCTTCCTGTTTGGCAGACTTGAGGGCAGATTGAAGCTCTTAAAAATTAACCACAAAACCCCAATCTCAGAAATCAGTGTTCAGTGTCTCACATAGGCATGCAAGGTGCAAAGAAGGCAGCCCCTTTGGTCATTGGAAGCTGTATTTACTTCAGGAAAGCTAACCAGGCCCTTGGAGGTATTCCTGTGGTTCGGGGGGGGCATATGCAGCATGCAGCCCTTCAAACTGAGTTAATTGGGTAAACCGAGGCACAGCTTTAGCCCCTTTAGTTCCCCTCAAAGCCGAATTCATAGCACATAAAATTATCCCCCCCGCCTGACTAAAAAGAGGTCCTTTCCCGGAATAATTAAAGCCCACAGAGAGCGTTTTTTTCACGGCAGGGTCATCTTACTCCATATTACGTATTCACATGGAGACCCTCTTCCGCAGGGCTCACAGGTAATCCTCACCACCCCTGCAAAACCCACAGAGGAGCTGCCCCCTCCCTCGGCTCAACTCCAGGGAGGATTGCAAAGTACCACCAAAGCAGTGGTTCTCAACCTTTTTAATGCCGCGACCCCAACCGGTCGTAAGTCGAGAACTAAACCGGTCATAAGTCGAGGACTAAACCGGTGGTAAGTTGAGGACTACCCAACCGGTCATAAGTCGAGGACTTTCCCTGCCCGGGAACGCCGCGCATGCGTGGTTCCGTCCCCCTGCGCCGGCCGAGGCGTAGCTGGCAAGTGGCAGAGACGGAGCAGGCCGACCACCAGCTGGCCCAGCCCAAGGGAGGTAAGGCACCCGCCGGAAAATGGGAAAAAATGGCGGACAAAAAAAATGGCGGAGACAAAAAAATGGCGGACAGCCTTGCTTGGCGACCCCCGTGAAATGGTCGATCGACCCCAAATGGGGTTCCGACCCACAGGTTGAGAACCACTGCACCAAAGGGAGACGAAGCCGTAACGTAAGGCTTCTCAGTGCCCTCTCGTCGGCCACCGAACGTCAAGCCCCGCAACGGGGTCGCCAACCGAGGGGGAGGCGTTCAGGGGAAGAGGCGCCCGCCTCCCGCTCTATTTCTGCGTGGCGCTCGTCTCCCCGCTCCAATTTGGCTTCGGTGGCTCCTCAGCTTTTCCACCGACGCCGCGGGCGACAACCCAAGGACCGGCGCCCAGTCTCGACGGGGCGGAGGAAGAAAAAGAAAAAAAAAACAAAAAAAAAAACGGGAAAGCCAAGAAACTCGCGCCTGACCTCAGCGCTGGGAGCGGCCGCCCAGCGGGCTCACGCGGCTGACCAATAAAAGCGCGCCGAGCGGCGCCGGCCGTCGAGTGCTCGTTGCCGTCGCTGCCTCGCTCCCGACTTGACTCGACTGAGCGCCTCGAGGTGCCGCAGCCCGCCCGGCCGGAGGGATATTGACTTTGGGGTCGGGGTTGGCTGGCGAGCGAAGGAGGGCAACGATGCTGTTTTGGCACACGCAGCCGGAGCATTACAACCAGCACTCGACGGGCAGCTACTTGCGGTGAGTCGAGGCAAAGGCGAGCAACCGCGGGCGGGTCGAGAAAAAGGACCTGGGATGCCCAAGAGCCGAGGGGAAAAGAGAAAGCGCGCGTGCTGGTCAAGAGAAGCGAAAGTGACCGCTGAAGAGAAATTACCACCCGCTCCTTTTGCTTTGGGGGATTGCTTCGGTTTGAATTTTTTTGGGGGGGCGCTTTAGGGGAGGTTTCTGAAGCGAGGGGCACGGGGCGACTCGAGGGCATCTAGCAGGGCGAACCAGCGCGGGTATCCCGGCGTCATCTTCAGGAGGGACCCTGAGCTTTTGGGTAGAGGCGTGGGGTGCCGGCGTCCTGCGGGCGGGAGAAGCGGGGAACGCGGCTTTCGGAAGAACCAACCTGCACGGAGTCTCGGGGACCAAACCACCTTTGAGTGGTTTGTACTGTATGTATCACGCTCTCGGTCCAGAAGGCGTTTCGGGGCATTGGCTGCATCGAATGGCGTGAACTCCTCCAAAAGATTTTACATCATACCAAATGAACAGTGGGGAAACCCAAAAGAACGGAAAGAGAAAACATATCGGAGGACCGGTTCTGTAAATAGATAGGGTTTGCTAACAAGCATCTCGCCCCTTTCCCCGGAGCAATATGAGTGTCAGATCCAAGTTATGCTATACGCGAACTTTGCTTGAGCGTCTTTATTTGGGGATGACTGCCTGGAAGTTAGAATGTCTGAAGCGGTGGATTCCATCCTGGGAGCCCGTTTGCATTGCGGTTACTCTACGAACCGGGAGAGAGGGATGTATCTACCAGTGTTTCATTTCATTCATTTATTTCATTTATTTCATTTATTTCATTTATACCCCGCCCTTCTCCCGGAGGACTCAGGGCGGCTTACAGCCAGTTTAAAACAATCCCACATAAATACCAAATACAAATCTAAAATAATTAAGAATAAATATTTGAATTGGCCGCTCTATTAAAATTTTGTTAAAACCAATTAAAATACCCCCTAGGCCAGTCCTGCCTGCTGAAACAGCCAAGTCTTGAGGGCGCGGCGGAAGGAGGGGAGATCCGGAATCACCCGGATCTCTGGGGGCAGCTCGTTCCAGAGGGTGGGCGCTCCGACAGAGAAGGCTCTCCCCCTGGGGGTCGCCAACCGACACTGTCTGGTTGGCGGCACCCTGAGGAGACCCTGTCTGTGGGAGCGTATCGGCCGGTGGGAGGTGATCTGTGGCAGAAGGCGGTCTCGGAGGTAACCAGGTCCGATGCCATGGCGCGCTTTAAAGGTGATAATCAGCACCTTGAAGCGCACTCGGAAGACCACAGGCAGCCAGTGCAGCTTGCTGGCTGTGGAATTCTGGGAGTTGAAGTCCACATGCCTTAAAATGGTCAAGGTTGAGAAACACTGATCTAGGCTGTTACACACTCTGTGAACCGCTGTTGGCTGTTCTCTGCGTAGTGGAACATATTGGGGTACCTAATGACCATCCCCATAGTGGCTATCTGAGGTATATTTAAAGAAGTAAAAATTACAAAAAAACCTCTGCCGATTACAACTCCTGTTTCACGTCAGTGTATGGGTTACTTACGGTATTTCAAATCAGACTAATCAGATTAGTTAAAAATGTGTGACTTAGGGAAACTGATTTATGATGGGATCTGAAGATGGTAAGATGGTACACACAATATAATTTGGACTAAATAGCCAGCTGTCTGGCATTGTGTGGTTCCCCCATTTGAATCTGTCAATTATGTTTTTTAAAAGGTAAGCAGTTGCTATCTCATACTTTTTTCTCCTCGCTGCCTGCTGTGGGAGGATCAGTATGGTAGTCAATGTTGAAATGTTGTAATATGCTATCTTGTTAAAGGATTAATACATTTACCACCATAATTCTAAGTTGGCAGATATACCCTTTCAGTAACCCATGAGTCTCTTTTTTTGTGTATATTCAACAGTGTTTGACTCCTGACAATTACCTAGACAAGTCCCTGCAGTTTTCTTGGCAATGATTTTCCAAAGTGATTTGCCATTGTCTTCTTTATAGGGCTGAGATAGTGATTGGCCCCAGATCACCAAGGTGGTGTCCTGCCTAAGGTAGGACTAAAACTTGCCATCTCCTTTTTTTGTAACCTGATGCCTTAAGCACTACACCAAACTAGCTCTCCATAGAGATCTCTACAACTTTATATATTCGTACTTACAAATGTATGGATTTTAGTCCATCATATCTTTATTAGAACACAATGATCAATGAACCCAAAGGAATTTTCAATTTCTTGGAAGATGTAGTACCAAAAAGTGGGGGATAAGAGCAGAAATATTTAAAAATAAGGCAAGAATTGTGGCTATATAGTGTATCTCTGTTTGTCTTAGTTTCTAAGGTTGCAAACCTTTGTTTTTGCTGCAGTTCCTTTTGCAGATCCTTCTCAGAGAATATGCAATGCTAATGCAAAGCACAGAACCCCCCCCCCCCAAGAAGTAAAAGAAAAGGAAAGCAGGAGATAAGATAAAAGAAAAGGAAATGTAACTGAATCAACATTCCACAAAACTTTTCATTAAACCATTCTATCCCCTCAAGTCATCTTTGCTTCAGCCATCTCTCTGGAGTATCTAAGACACACTGCTGTTTAAGAAACAAAAGATCTTGTGACATTTCAAAGCAAAGAAAAATAACTAATTTATTATAGCATAAATGTTTTGGGGATATGGTCCACACCATCAGATATGTGGAAACTCTTTGTTAAGTAGACTGTGATCAACTAAACTTTTATATAATAAAAGATGCTTAGTTTTTGCAGAAAAAAACCCAAACATATTCCCCAGACCAGTCCTTAACTAAGATGTAGGTGGGGTTTTTTTTAAAGAAAAAAAAATCTATTGGTTATATTGAGTAAAGATGCTCAGATGAGGTTGCCTGAAGTAAATCCCTTTAATGAACACATTTGGAAGACACAAAGTGTTCTTTCAGAAGTGCCAAGCACTTGTAGATTGAAACGACTGTCTAACGGTTCTTTAAATCTGTGGCCTCAACCCTGCTCGCTCTGCCCCCACCCGTCTATACATGATGAGTAGTTCCTTTAATTCATTTTACTTACTGGACTTGATGAATCCAGTTTTTTCCTGCTTTATTTCTGTGTTAATCATGTTCTATGTAAGCAAAAAAGGGCAGCGAACAGGGAAAGAACAAATGGAAGGTCTTCACTGGGCCCTCTAAGCAGCAAACCATAAATGGAGGACTCCTTTATTTTAATATGATTTTATGTGTGTGGTTAGGGAATAATTTTTTAAAAATGCATAATTGTTCATGTTGCTTAAAAATACATTGTTTGGCAACATCTTTTTTAAGCTAAAATGCCATAATACTGTAAATAATTTTTCAGATTTCACAGAAGTCTTCATCAGATTGGATAGGACTGAGTGTAAGAAAAGCGGAATTGGTTGAGTAAAATCAGATTCATAAATCATATTAACTGTTTGGCTTGCTTTTGTTTCTCTGTTAATTCTGTCATTGTGCCTGAGAAGCCACTCACTAAAGTCTTACTTAAAAATTTTAATGTCATTATCCAAGGATTAGAGTGTGTCTCAGAAGGTGGCAGCACCTACTCAGTCTGTTCTAAACTTAGAGCTTAGCTTACTATTTGGATAAAAAAAAATTACAAGGAATACCAATAGGTAATGCTAATTAGAAAACATCCCAAAGAAAAGTAGTGATGCACCAATGAAACCTCATGTTTCTGTCTATGCAGTCACCAGGAGCTGAATATGACTTGAAGGAAATTTTACAGAAGACTGTAATATATGCTGTTCTTAAGTGAAGCCTGAGACCTGTTGCATAGCACTTTGCTGAGTCTAATCTAGTTAAAAGCATGTGAGAATTTGCCTAGGTCAGGAGCCAATCTTCTTAAACCTTATCAACTAGTACACCTTTTCCCCACTTGTCTTTCAAATGGGGCACATTTCAATTTACAGATTTCCCCAGCCAGCAGCACATCCTGCTGATGAAAAAGACGGGGAGTTGTCATTCTCACTTACCTACCGACATTACATTACATAAATCTGAAAGGTGCTAGTCTGCAGTAAGTAAATAATTGATGCACAAATGTAGTATAAATCCAGAAATTGAAGTAAATTCATTCATTTAAGTATGGATGAGCAAGTTGTGTAAAACAGTTGTCTTGCCACCAAGGTGAATTGATAGCAGGCTTGGTGGAAGCCTATGTTCATTGTACAGTCAAGTTCCATCCACATGTGATTTCCCAGGTACTGCTTATGTTGTTTTTAAATCTCTTTGTGTGACGGACAGAGTCCTTTGAGGCTAATGCTGAGTCAGTCTTTTTAATGATGCTGGTAGAATTAAATGTAACAATATTTTGCATTTTTGTCTCTACTATTTTCGTATCATCAAGCCTTCTGTTACTTTAAGTTTATAAAGTGATCATTGGTGTAGAGAAGTTTAGCTGTATTATTTCTGACCAAGATAGATTTCCTTGAAAAAGACAATATAGTTTCTTTTAATTTGGAGCTTAAATTCACAGGAATCTGATTCTTCCTTGGTTTACAGAAAATCCCAGTATAGATTAAGTGTCTTTAAGTAACTTCACAGCCCTGCATTGTTGCATAAGTCACAATGACAGAGTTTACACAGCACTGAATCAAACCAAACAGACTACATAGTGGCTTTCCAGAACATGTGAACCCAATCCCAAGTGCTTACTTCTGGTTGTACTTTTAATTGTACACAGAATTATATTCTTATTACCTAACTTTAACATTCTGCAGAAAAAAAGAAGGAAAGTAGGGAGAAAAAATTCCTAAGTTTTTCAAATGTTGACTCTAAAAAGAAACCACAAGAAATGGGAGAGGGTGACCAGATTTCTTAGATGTTTTAAAATTAATGTTTAAAGAAATAGAAAAGTTCTTGCTAAATAAAGTAGGCAAGGATATACAGGATTATATGAAATACAATTCAGTGATGAACATGATTATATGTATAAAGAAATGCTGTATTTTTCCCCTCTGATTCTA